CCTGCAAAGGAGGCAGAAGGACATGCTAAGACTTCAAAACACGTATTGTACCCAACCCCTGAGCAATGCTAATCTCTGCCTAAAGGCAAACCGGGCTTGTGGGTCAGAGATCAGGATTTCGCTGCAGCCTGGGCAGATATCCGCCCATTCTGAGGGCTCATCCCAGCCCACAACGTAGCATCTTCCCAGTCCTCAGGGCAGGGAAAAGCTTTCCCACTGCTCACGGGAGGGGAGGGGGGAAAAAAAAATAAAAAAAAAAATCAGCAGCTCTGCAGCATCAAGAGCCTTGCCTTGACCCTGGCTGCCCACAGCACCTTTCTTGGGCTCGGACAGTCAGCCCATAATCAAGTTTGAAGGACACACACTGCTGAGATTTGCAACTTAACTCACCCCAAACCTTTGGATCTTGGGACCTAAGTCTAACTAACTTTCAGCAAAGCTTTATGCCAATAGCAAGATAGGAAGCAGTGCTACGAAGCGGTGTGTGATAAGCAGCGAAAGGGCTGCCAGAGCAAATTATTTAAACATCTTATCCTAGCTCTACTTGTATATGGCTGCCAAATCTTAACTGCAGCCCAAACTCCCAGCTGTAAGGCTCACTCTTCTGCAGCATCCTGAGAAAACACTACCACAGATTTATTTCACAGCTTAAAGGATAGCCACGCGACGGCCACTTTGGGAGCGGGATTTACGAGCCAGGCAGGTCTGCTGGCTTGGCTGCAAGACCCCACACCACGTTCCCGGTTTTGCAGTAAAGACAGATGCCCTCATTTTAAGTTTTAACTGCACGGGAACAGAGAGGCAGATTTAAGCCTTCGAGCCTGATGGACAGGTTGCCCCATGTTTTTGGCTCCGTAGCAGACACAGTCTAGTAACCTTAACCAGTGACCGATTGTGTGGTGGTCCAAAAGCCTGCATGCGATAGCCCTGTGAGAGTGAGATAGGCCTAGGCCTAACCCCTACCCCATAGGGCAGCTGTTTTCCTGGTGGCTGTCTCCGTTTCCACCAGCATCGCAGCCAAATATCCAAGGTAGCAGCACGGGGAGGAAACAAAAGTTGTCACCTTTGCAACATCTGCAAGTTTCGTAATTGATTTCAGCATCACTGTGGGTCCACCATACGGTAACCTTGATGGATGTCCTGCATCAAGGCCAGACTTCTAGCCGGAAGACAGTCCAAAATCCCTCTCAATAACTAATCCTGAGGTGGTACGCAACAGCTGAAGAGGCTGTCAAAACAGAGGCTATCCCAAAAGAAAGCCTTAGGCATAAAACCCAGAATTACTAATGGAAGAAAGCAAAATTGTTTTAACAGACAGACAAGCTACAGCCTGGACTTATTATAATTTGCCCAATGGAAAGGAAACTACAGCACATCTGAAGTTTCCTATTTCTCCTGAAAAATGCATGCATGCCACCACACTAAACCTGCAAAAAGGTCACTGCAGTGATATATGGCACCATCTTCTGCCCATATGCAGGTGGCGCAGCAAAGCCACAATAAACAAAACCCGAAAGCTGCTTCAGCTCTGGCTCAGCTTCCTCCAGACTAGTACTTAAAATAGCTTAAATAACAGGATGTAAGAAGGGAAAGTAACCCACACATTTCCTTTTAAGGATATATGCTCTCAGCAGGACACACTCTAGCAGGATCACAGATCCCTATTTGCCGTAAGCTAACGTTTTAGAGCATTGTTTTGCCACCTTGCAGCAGCGAACAAAGTGTTCAACTAGGCTATGATTTTAGGTACTTAGTGTTTTCAGAGATGTTTATCTCTGCTATTACAATCAGAGAGAAGGAAAACAAATAAGCAGAGCGAATTTGCAGATTTTGTTCTGCCCTACTTCCTCTATAAAGTGCCACTATTTGTCCAAGTACACACAGATATACAGCGCACACACACCAGCTCTGCAGAGCAAATTCGGAGATCAGCTGAGATTTGGAGCAACCTAATCTTCCCCAGCTAACATGTGGGTCATTGAAAGTCTGGACAGTTATTATTCCCCACTTAATAATAACTTTTTTCAGATGTTAGCATACTTTTTTCCTACTGCCGTTTACCACATGGATCACTTACAAGAACAATACCAGTTTGAAAGCTACTGGGAGTTGATTGCCTGAGCTAGAGCTGACGTTAGTACTAACTTTAAACCATGGTTTTCCCACCCGTGAACAGCTTCTAATAAGCAACAGGTTATCTATGAGACTCTCTTGCCTTTTGCAGGCTGTCAGAAATGTCACACACCAGTTGCAGGGGACCTGCAAGAGGCACGGACAGCACAAGGTGACAAAGTACAAGATAACATACCTAACAGCCCTCGAGCGCAGGAGGGATGCCTCCATCTAGGTCCACCTGTCCAGCAGCATACGGAAGAGCTGGTCAAACATGCATTCACGAAGCCCCATCCGTGCAATGCTCACCCCAGCTGTTGGACCAAGGGCACTCCTATCCAGAGCGACAACTTGCTAGATGCACCACCAGCAGTTCCCAGGGAAGGCTAGACACCCAATTAGCAATCAGTTATATATCCCAGGGCAGACAGCTCTCCTTTAGGCAAGAGTAAAATGAACGAGAGAGCATTAAAGGCACTCTTGACAAGCATGGGTCCTCCCACAGCAGTCCTTGTGGGCTGCACCATGCCTAAAGCACACAAAACAGTTGAAGGCAGGCAAGAAGGACGGTAAGAAGGACTAGCAGATCCCACCACACTGTGGGGTATGCAGAAGGCTCATCACGTGTCTCAAGACAACCAAAGTTTTGACATTTCTTTTATATCTTCATTATCTGAACAGGGACTGCCTCCTGAAGAGCGCGAGCTGGTCTCCCAGGACGGTCACTATTTGACTTGGATTGCTCAGTCTGTTGCCAGTGCAAAGGCAGCTAGCCAACCTAATTGTAATATTTTCCTCAGGCACTAATGACAAAAAGCCACTACGTTCCAGGCAGGTTAATCATGTTAAAGTTATCCAAAGGCAGAACGGGCTGCCTACATCCTGGCCTTATCAGCGCTTGTATTCAGAACCGCACCAAGAAGCGGGAACTAAGATTTCCCTTGTCTCCCCCTCTGCTTCATCTGACTTCCACCTGCTGGGAAAGCCACGGGCAGAGCGAGGCAGAACAGGGAACTGCCTGCATAGCAATTTGCTTCAAGTACTGATGTGCAACACCGCTTCACGAGAATCGGTTACCTTTGAAATTCATTTTTCTCCCTGCAGATCATGAATTCACAGCAAGCTAGAGTTTAAGAGACACCCTACCCTAGAGGGCAGTTCAGTTAATAAAGACGTAGCACAACTACCAACTCACATTTGCAGCATGCTTAAGCAGAAACCAAACCGCGTCCATGAAGCGGGGACTGCAGATATTAGCTCAGGTCTCACGATTTATGTCCCACTTGGAAATACTACTGGAGTCTGTGCAAAGAGCATCCCCACCAGCAGGAAACTGGGGTCAGCCTTCTGCAGTGGCCAAACGCTAGTTCTTAAGTGCTAGCAATAAGGGAAACTAACCCGCGCCGACTGCATCACTCATGCAACTTATATGTGGTTAGTGCCAGTCACTGGGTGCGGTTCCCCCGCTGCTGCGCTGACCTCAACCAGCACTGCTGCAATCAAACCCTCCCGTCCCACCCCCTCTCTCGCATTTTTATGCTCCTCCGACAAGCCATATCAGGAAAGTAAATCAGCAGAAAACTATTTTCTCCCTGATGCCAGTTTTCTACCCGTTTAAGCTTCCTGAATCAGCCTGCCACGGGGCGGCTGCACACGCCAGCCCAGGGAGCAAGCAGAAAGGCACAGTCGGAGGCAACGGGGCACAGCCCGGGCTGCTGAGGGTGTGTAGCCCTCGGAGCCAGGCTGGCTGTTACGGAGGTGAGAACCAACCAGAGGGCAATGCACACGCAAGCAGCTGCAAAGCATTTCTGTTACCACCACAAGCGCTCCTTAACAGCCAGGTACGCACCCGCTAATTGGGCTTTGCCTGCAAGCTTGTCAAACTCGGCGCCTCGAACGCACCTGCACAAACCAGAAACGTAGCACCTACGTTCGCCATCTGCCTATGTAAGCCAAACTGCCAAAACCAGCAGAGATGAAGCGGATGCACGCTCAGGGAAAGCTTCCAAGCAGGAATATTTATCCTGCAGGAGCCATCCTGTCCCAGGCCCTGCTGAGATGGCAGAGCCTCTGACAGGTGGTGAAAAAGCCACAGGCTCACACGGGAGAGGGCTCGTCGCCAGGCCGCCAGCGCCCTTGGGCTGCTGCCAGGCGGGAGAGCAATGAGCCTTTCCGTTTTGAAGCCATCATCGGACCCGAGAACCATGTGAGCCCTGCAGCACTCCCTGGGCTACAGCAAACCACCACCCGCGTGGACATTTCTTCCACCCTCCCCACGAGGGACAAGCAAAGCCCGCTGCCGAGCGGCAAGGCACGGCCACCAGCCAGGGCTCGCTGGCAGCCCCACTGCCCTCCTCCTTCTTTTCTTTTGGCTAAAAGGGACGAGCCAGAAGCACTGAGGCTGCTGAGGGGCTCCCGGGCAGGGAGAAGACGACAAGGTCGGCAGGAGACTGCCCATACCCTGCTGGCACCGCTGCCCACAGGGGTAGGACAAACCCACCTCAAACATAGCAACGCCAGAGCAAGGTTTCCTCCCCGCTGCTGGCCAGGACTACAGGCAACGAGCCAGGACTGGAGGCAACGAGCAACTTACCAACTTTGGCAAAGGCCTCCTTGAGCTCCTCCAGCTCATCCTTGGAGATTTGGGTGGTGTTGGCCATCTCATGAATTTAGGGAGTACCTAAAGAGGGAAAAGGACATTGTGTGAAACCCAGCTGCATTCGGATACGCTTTTTTTTTTTTTTTTTTTTTTTTTTTTTAAAACCAAAAAATAAAAACACACCACACCCAAAGCACCTTCTTGAAGTCACATTTATCTTTCCACTCGGGAAAGAGATGTGAAACTCAGAACATGGTTAAGGAGTGCGCTTCCCAAGTCAGAAATCCCATTAGCCTTGTTAATATTTAGCTCTGCATGTTTATTTTACAGGCCACGTTGTTCTGCATGCATTAAGTTACCTGTTCTGTAAGTCAAAAAAAAACAAAAAACAAAAAAAATCACATCTCTGGAGATTTTCCCCAGCTTTGAAAAAACCCAGAAATCTAAAGTATTAATGCAGTAGAGAGTGACAGCTCTGCCTGCTTGCCCGTCCCCCGAGAGGGCGCAGCTGCCCCAAACAACAGGTAAGGATTCTGAACGGTCACCAGAGGAGGCCTCTCCGCGTGAAGTGGTCTACATGATATTGTTTGCAGAAAAGGAAAAGCAGTTTGTTTTTCTACCAGAAAACTACTCGAATAAACAACCTATTTCCCAGAATTGGTCTCTCAGGAAGACGTGCAAACAGGCTGTTTACACTGTCCACCCTCTGAAGCCGGACATGGCAGGAGCACCGCAAGCGTGGAGTACCCGCTTAAACCAAGAGCGGGCAGAAACCCCACTTTGATCCTATCAGCATAGCTTCAGGGGCATTTAAGAGACAGAGGATGAGGCGCTCGCTTCAGGAGGTGCGTGCTTCATGCTGGTTCACTTCCCTGGATGGGTGCTACCCTGAGGCACCACCACCACAAGGATGGGCAAAGGCCCAGGGACCTGCCTACGTCCTCCTCCCCAGGAGGCTCACAAGAGCATCAGCAGCCTGCCAGCACTTTGGCCTGCATGAACTATAGAAATCAGCTGTTTGAGATGGCACGGATGGACAGGCACGGCACAGACAGGAGCTAGCAGCAGAGGAAGTCAACAAGAAGTTGCATCCCTGCAGAGAGTTGGAGGAGAGCAGAGCAGATCCCACCTCCTGAGCCTCTGCAACGCTGCCCGCAGACAGGATGAGATGCTGAGCTTTCAATAAGAGCCACCGACAGCAAGACCAACCAACCTCATCATCGGGCTTACATTGCAAGAATAGGGCAGGGGGAGGAATCGCAGCAAAGCTGCGATGGATTGACAGAGTAGAAAGATGCTAGAGTGAATTTCTATACTACGCCACAAATTACAAGTTTGGCTGGTGAATGCAAGGAAGCACTACTGCGCAGCACCCCTGCAAAACACACGAATGCTGCGTGCAATGCTGCCCGTCTCGCGGGATGTCTGTTCTGCCTGACCGGGACCACTTCTGCTGCTGGATCAGCTGCTTCCCCCTCAGCACTCCCATGGCTGCCCACTCCCTCCGTGCCACCAAAACCTAGGTGCTTTTTTCAGGAAACAGAGGGTTTGCTCAGCTAGAAAGTCAGCTGTAAGCAAACCCGGTGCATGCTATGGGAGGCTGTTTTCACGACTGCCAGAAACACTTGGGTATCAAGAGCAGAGGCAATTTTGGTTGGCGATTGCCAGTGCGCCATCAGAAAAGCTGCGTGACCTGCCAGGCAGGAGAGCAGAGACACCTTCAGCAAGGATCAAAGCAGGGATGCTCAGAAGATCCCACACAGCACAAGCGGGACGCCTGTCACCAGGACACATCATCTGGCTCCAACGAGCAGAAAATGATTCTTCTATAAGCTACTACTAGGCAAGAAAATTCAGTCAACCTTTCTTCACAAATTCTTCTTTTTTCCTAACCCCCATTCCTACCATCTCACTTTCAAACCATGAGGACTTCCCTTAAAAAGGGATTTCCAAGAACGTAATTATCTAACTGCTTCACTGAGATTTAATTTTTTGGTATCTATCTCCAACATCTTTAACACCGTAACAAGCAGCCAATACCACTATAAGCCAAGAGCTTTTAAGAAAGCTGCCGTTCGACTTCATCAGGGCAACAGGACGCTCTGGACATGCCCCACAGCCGTTTGTGCGGGTCTGCACTTAACAACCGAATTCCAGCCCCTATGCTTTTCGGCTCAGTCGGTAAGTCTTTAAAATAGATTTACTTTCCATATAGTTTTCTTCCTTCTCCGTTTCGTAATTTAAGAAAGGCAAAGAGAATTTGAACAAAATAAATAAAATGAAATAAAAAGAGAAAGAGAGAGAGAGAGCAGACACCTGGAGTTGTTATAGCTGCTGGCAAGGGGAAAGCGTGTGTTATAAGACGACAGTCCACGAAAAGGTTATTGGGCCACAGAAGGTCACAAGCGGGCAGGGACTGCTGAGCTCCCAGGAGGATTTTGGGGTGCGTTTGCCATGGAGAGATGCTACACCTGCATCTGGCACATTTGGGGTGGGGGATGAACCTTCTGGGTTGTGGTTTTTTGTTTGTTTGTTTTAAATAGCTGACTCCCGGGCATTCAAAATTGTGTTTTTCATTCAGACAAAAATTTTTAAACAAGAGGTTCTCTCTTCTCAGACATAAAAAAAAAAAAAAACACCCTTCATCATACTGGAATAGCCATCGCGCATCATCCTCGCGGTGACCTCAGCGACTCCAAAGCACAACCCAGCTCCGCGTTTCCCCGCGGCGTCGGGAAGCCCCCGTTCCCAGGCACGCGCCGTACCTCCAGCATCACCCTTATTCCTACTTGGAGCAAAAGCTCTGGCCGGCTGTGCAACAACAGCCCAGGACGAACTCCGGCTTCGGGAGCCGTTTCAGGAAGGGAAAGCGAGGACAAGGCAGGCGAGCGATGCGAATCGGTGGTCCCGCCC